AACAACGACACAATTATCTCGGTATTTCATCGCGATTAGCATCGCGGTTTTTCTTGTGTGTGAACGCGCCTAATAACAAAGCCAAACTTTACCTAGTAAAATCTGACTTTAACATCTACACTCTAAGCAAAAGCAGTGCAGTATAATATTACAGTAATGCCAGGTCAGATATACTGCTATCAATAAAAGTGCACAAGTGTAATTATGTATAGGCACGTAAGCCAAACGAAGATTTTTATCCGAACTTTTGATTGGATCTAATGAAGCATGCACGTTACAAAAACGTTTTCTATAACTGCCAAACATAACACCCTATTATTAAAATCAGTGCCAATTTTTAACAGCATCCACACGCACAAAAATTAAGTGACTACATTTGTTGTTTTTTCGACAAAGGCATGCTATGTGGCAGAATTTTTGTGTTACCACCGTGAATGGCCAGTGTAGTCCAAAAAGAACACCTTCAGTATGTATACACTACACACTAAGGTGAAAATGCATGTAAAATACCATTTTTATTCTGCATTCAATAGTTGTACTAGAGGGTAAAATGCAACAGGCATTTCTTCAATACATTGTTTGGAAAACACAAGAACGACAACTACATAGAGCACGTTCAAACTAGTCGCGGGCGGGCTGACGGCACGTGTGCATGGTAAAATTTTATCTACGTGCTGCACTTTGCTGACAGCATCGCCCTACGATTTCGAGCTATGCTAATGTACATGAAAAAGGCGCTCCGACGTTGGTCGCCGTTGACTTCCAAGAGAATTTTCTTTGTCCGTTCTCATACGTTCAAACTAGTCGCGGGCGCGCTGACGGCACGTGTGCATTGTAAAATCTTATCTACATGCTTCACTTTGCTTGCAGCATTGCGCCACGATTCCCAGCTATGCTAATGTACATGAAAAAGGCGCTCCGACAGTCGGTCGCCGTTGACTGCCAAAAGAATTTTCTTCGGTCGTTCTCATACGTTCAAACTATAGTCGCGGGCCGGCTAACGGCACGAGTGAATGGTAAAATTTGATGTACATGCTTCACTTTGCTCGCAGCATCGCGCCACGATTTCCAGCTATGCTAATGTACATGAAAAAGACGCTCCGACGTCGGTCGCCGTTGACTGCCAAGAGAATTTTCTTTGACCGTTCTCATACGTTCACACTAGTCGCGGGCGGGCTCACGGCACGTGTGCATGCTAAAATCTTATTTACGTGCTTCACTTTGCTTGCAGCATCGCGCCACGATTTCCAGCGATGCTAATGTACATGAAGAAGACGCTCCGACGTCGGTCGTCGTTGACTGCCAAGAGAATTTTCTTTGGCCGTTTTCATACGTTCAAACTAGTCGCGGGCGGGCTCACGGCACGTGTGCATACTAAAATCTTATTTACGTGCTTCACTTTGCTTGCAGCATCGCGCCACGATTTCCAGCGATGCTAATGTACATGAAAAAGACGCTCCGACGTCGGTCGTCGTTGACTGCCATGAGACTCTTCTTCGGGCGTTTTTATACGTTCAAAATGGAGCTGGGCTGGCTGTCAGCACGTGTTTGGTAAAATCCAATCTAATTCGGATTTTACCAAACACGTGCTGACAGC